TTCCTTCCCATCCCACTGACCTATTTACAAAATGTTAGAAATAATTCGAAATAATGGTAAAAATGGTAGAGTGCTGTTAGAAATATTTAGAAACTATTGGAAATGTCATAATCCACATCAGGAATATTTCAAACGTTTTAGAAAACCAGGGAATTATTTAGAATATTGACAAGATGTTCAAAATATTTCCAAATTATGAAATTTCTTAGACAAACAATTACAAAGAATTCAAAACATTTCTAAATAATGACAATAAGAACCCACTCGGTGACGCGGAATTGACTCTATATTTTTGCTCATTTTGCAACTGTTTTGTACGATATACAGTATGGTTGAAAACTTCTTTTTTTTTTTGGAAACGGCCGAAAATTCATGCGCGCGCGGATGTCATCCATATAATCAAATCAACATGGCCTAACATATCATGATGATCCTAGGGGGATGGGGGTACCAGAGTCATGCTCCCCTGGGAAATGTTCATATCCTGACCCTCTGAAATGCAAATTCCCTGCATTTTCAGGGGCAAATTATGCTGGTAGACTTAAAAAGTGTAGTTTATTGACATATATTTCCATATTTAATGCTTTTGACCATCAAAAATGATGAATTGGGTAAAACTTTTGAAGATGTAAACTGTATGTATTTTGTCTGGCCCTAATTCCTCTTTGGAAGTTCCCTCATGACCTCAATGAAAAGCAGCCTGTAGGCCGATTTGAGCTTGTCACGAATATAAATGGTTTGAATAAATAAATGGTTTTATTGTCTAAACAGTACCCGTGCAGTCGCAGCCTTTATACGGCTGAATTGATGCAGGGTATCACATAATAATCAATACAAATCACAACAATTACAACAATCAAATGACATGATACATATATTTGTTCCACAATTATTTTTGTGGAACTGTCGCAAGGGTCTGTGCAGCTGCCATTCGGCGCCACAAGGTGACCTCAATACGACTTTCCCCAACTGAAGTTAGGTACCCATTCACACCTGGGTGGAGTGAGGAAAGTCGTGTAAAGTGCCTTTCCCAAGGGCACAACGTCGGGGCGCATGTTCAGACATGTACAGGGTACGACTCGGAATCGAACCCGGGTCTCTCCGCTTCATACTATTATAATAGTCGATTGCTCTAACCACTACACCACCCGACACCCATTAATAAGGAATGTTTCAAATAAACAATGTACCCCAGAAACTTCTGTGGCCTTAACATGAGAAGGACAATACCAGAAAGTTACCTTGATGAGATCGACAGCGAGTACCCCGTGGAATGTGGAGACTTCCCCCTGGACCATCAGCTTGCCTTTCCTGACAGTGAAGGGAATGATCTCATCGTGGGCGGTGCTGCGTCCCACCTTGTCGTAGATGTCCAGTTCCTGAACCACCGTGTGCTGACTGTTCAACACCACATCAAATACCTACACACAAAACAACAATTCAGACAACTCAGATAGGGGTGCCAGAGTATAGACTGCAATTTTACGGTATACAGTGCAATCGTATTAGTATACAGTGCAATTTTATGGAATACAGTGCAATTTTACTAATGACGTAACCTGGGCCCAGCTTTCCGGGGACGCCGCTGACGGAGCGTACTCACATCTTTCTGTGTTTTTCGAGTGAATTTGGACTGTTCTCATAGATAGATCTTTAGTCAAATCACTACATAGTACTACATACAGGGCATGTTACTACACAGGGATCATTTCGAATTCACTCGAAAAAGACAGAAGTATTTGAGTCAGCGGCATCCGCCATCTTGAAACTGAGAAAGCAGGGAAAGCCTGGTCCAAGTCACGTGATTCAATGTCACTAGTAAAATTGCACTGTATTCTAATACGATTGCACTGTATTCCGTAAAGTTGCACTGTATTATTTTATAGTGTATACTAATACGATTGCACTGTATTCCGTAAAATTGCACTACTGTATACTCTGGTACCCCTGTTAGACCTCTAGGAAATATTAATTACCACGGTAAGTTCTTTTGTGAAAGAGACTGTGTCCTCTTCTCATTCACCATGCCGTGTCTACAACTACATGTAGTACAAGTAGTCCTTTTTTATTGTGCAAAGGAAACACTAGCTGCCAATGCAAGGAGGTCATGTAAAAAAAAACAACTATGAAAGCAGTGATGGCTACCAGATGTAGATCTGATTAATGACTTTCTCCCTCTGGGACAAACTGTGCTCACCATATCACAACCTATGATCCTATGCGGCATGCAGAAACACACAATGCACACGCACACACACACACACACACACACACACACACACACACACATATACCAAAAACAATACTTACTAGTACCTCCATTTTTCATGCACAAATAGAAGGTGCTGTTACAAAGGACTGGATCAGTTTTACTTAAGGATAGCCAACATCAGATGCACATCCACATCACATTTCTTATCAAACACAATGAACATTATATATTATATAGTAGGGGCTAACTGAACTGAAGGGGGCTAAATGATACTGTATATTTATGTCCTACCTGGGTCGCGATTACGTTTGATAGGGTGTTCCGGCCCGTGTGATAACTACTAGTAGCGGTACGGCCCAGGGATTCTTTACACGTACGGTCCGGGCCTTCCAAATGTTCCATAGAACGATTCGAACGCGTTTTGCCCTAACCGCTTTCGAAAATTCAAATACAAAATTCGGACGTTGGAATTGATGTTGTTGCATTTTAGGGACACCAAATTTTCGCTCATTTCGCATTGAAAGACGTGTTTTCTTCGGTTTGTATGACATAAATAAAATACAACACGGTGTATTCCGCATCACCCTTGGTCCCAGCCCTCCCGCGGATCGGATCACCCTCCGGCCTGTGGCCGTCGGGCGATCCGACGCGCGGTCGGGCTGGTACCTCGGGCGATACGGAATACACCGTGTTGTATTCTATATGTAGTAGCTTATGACAATCATGGGGCAATTGATCATGAGTTACCATGTAGTAAAGGATAACAGATAAGACAGAAACTCTTTAGTAACATGACAAAGAAAAATCTTAGGTGGGGGATTGAATTGTTGCATGTAACAATAATATGTACATGAGGAAATATGCTGATTTATGGTTACTGCTGTGTCCAGGGCACTCCCAGATAAGTGAAATGCAAACATTTTTCAAAAGCACTTGTTTTCTTACATATTGTAATTTGTAATAACATTAAGGTCGGTTAACCAGTCTTGAGTGCAAGAAGTCAATAGTACATAAACATACTGAGAGAGACCAAGTGCAGGTAAACAATTTACCTGCATTTGGTCTTAGTATATAAAATACCAGAAACTTTATAGTTATTATAATATTAGTGCATGACTGCATGCCATCAAGTGTAACTGAGTTTCTGTGAATAATATCAGTAAACCATTTGTATTGTTGTTATTTGCCATTATGGCATACATTGGCATACATTGTCCCTGTACAGCTGCAGTGCAATTTAAATCCCATTCATTCCTAACATAACAGTTTAGTAAGTTTTTATCCAGAGGATGCAATTACACAACATCATTGCAATTGTATGGTGAAAAGAAATTAACTAACATCTTGGTTAGTATCCATTTACTAGTATTGGTGAAATTGAGGACCTTGGTGCAGGGTGCATTTGCCCTGTTTGTATACGGTAAATTTTACAATTGTTTGCAGCCAAAATCCTACTCAGGGCTCCAAAATCTACTCAGGGCTCCAAATACTATTTTCCTTCACACTTGCACTGGTGCAGGTAACACTGAAACATACCTGCATCACCACTCAACCACTCACACTTTGAGAAGTATGGATCATAATAAAACTGTTCAGAAAAATTTGCTACTATTTCTTTTATACCTTATTGTTGATAACAGTAAATGCAGCAAATAAAACACACATAAACCTGCATTTATTATGTCAGCAAACCCAGTGCATGGACCAGTGCAGGTTAGGTGCAGGTAGACATCAGAAAAATATCTGCACAGCTCCAATTTTACCTGTACCATTCCAAGGTGGGGTGTGACTAACTTGCTTGTCTGCACTCAAGGTGCATATGGACCCGGTATAACGTTACTAGTATCGACTTTATAGAAATTGCAGAAAGACAGATATACAATGTGGGCACTATAGGCTGCTAATAGCTACCCAGTACATTTCGAGCCCCTCTATAACTGTAGCAGTCCCCAGGATGTGGGGAAATCTACGGTGTTGTGCCCGCCCCCCTCCCCAGGCAACTCCCAGCCAATGAGAGGCCTACACCTGTCCACCCTGCCCACCTGAATCGGAACACACGCGGCTCAACACGGAAACCCTCCCACCTTCATGTTAGACGCAGAGAAGTACACTTCGGCGAATTTCAGCACAAGCACATAGTCTCCCTCCTGCTCGATGGGAACCTCATATCCAAACGTGTCTTCACTCCACCTCTCCGTCTGGTACAGTAGCTGGTCCTGCTCGGCCACCCTGCCGATTCTGTCCCGGCGGCCATAGTCGGACGCTACCCCAACCCTCCCTTCCAGCGGGTCCGCGTCGTACTCAATCCCGTAAGAATCCACATGTCTGGGTCCTCCGCAGTTCACGGCATAAATAAGTTCCCCAAGACCGACAGCGTGGTCCAGAAAGTATAGGAAGATGAAGAGAAAGTAATAAACATTCAACACCGCTGGCATTCTAAAATTGCAACCAGCTGGACACCGTGCGTGTGAAGTGGTATCGCCCAACTACAATATGGCACGAACTATCCCACAGGGGTGTCAAGCACAGGTCACTTTTATTTTCTGGCCTAAATACCGTTTTCTAAAGATGAAAAAGATGTAATTATTGGAAACACGTAAGCTACTAGTATATTTTTGTTCTTAATGCAGAATAGTTCCAGTCCTTTTCAAGTGTAGTCTTAAAATATGAGCACGTGTATGTGGTACAGTCCAACTAGCGTGATGGCAATCTCGCACCGAAGTTCTCCAGGTTCTGAAGGGAACAGAAATTGCTGGATTGTAGCTTCTTGTGGCATGGAGTCAAATGCTTGTGGGCTGTCTAGATTTCAATAGACTTGTTGCTACAGATAGATTTGATTATATATTTAAATGCAACAGCCCACACAATGCAAAAATAGGTAGATACACTAAACAACTGTTTTGTTTAATTAGAAAGAATACTGATTTGCTGTCACATGTACCCATAAATAACTCCGCCTGATTGTAAAGCCTAAGCTAACTTTTGATTATTTATTTTCTACATATAAGTTATTAAGTTTTACTCTATACTTATCTATTTTACTATGCTACTTATTGTTACCTATTTGCCATACAATGTACCCTGTACAATTGTCGTGCAATAAAGTTCGTCTTCATTCTATTAATTTCAACGTAGAGCGCGAATTTTGCCCAGACTCATAGTCCTAGAGCGTAATTCGCCGTTTTATTACCTTTGCCAAGAAGGTTATGTTTTCACTCATAATATTTCAGTAGCGTTTGTTTGTGTGTATTTGGTTTAGCACGATAACTCAAGTCAAGCTTTTGATGGAGTTATGAAACTTGGTAGGTGTGTGTCTTCATTTATATATAATAATAGACCAACTCCAAATTTGGGTGCACACACCCAGTATTCTTGTCTCAGCCCTGGTACCGAAATGTGACTGATCAGTCCTGGCAAGCAGTGCTGATTACCTTCGCCAAGAAGGTTGTGTTTTCAGGAGTGTTCGTGTGTGTGTCTGTGTTTGTGTGTGTGTGTAAACACGACAAACATGCTTGAGAAGGCTTTTAAGCACCTATAATATCAAGTCAATCCATTTAAAAATGAATTGACTTAATACTATTGGTAGGTGGAGACCTGGTCTTGAGGAGACCTGGAAATGATTAGATTTTGGGCCCCCGCTGGCGGCTTGTCATGGTACTGCAGCAGTACTTCCGGTTTTTATATCTCGTGATCTAGACATAGGGTCACGAACTTTACATCCAGGTGCTTCACCGTTAATCGTTGCCAGCCCGCTTCATTCCAACTTTTAAGCATTGTTGGTATATTCATCGTGAAGCGTTTTTGGTCGTTTTAATTCTACGTAGCACGTTATTTGTCATCCTGAATTCAGCGTTAAGCGTAATTTCCCGGGGAGCATGCCCCCGGACCCCCCCTAAATGCTCATGAAACATTTGATTTGATTTGATTTATTAGATTTTATAAGACATATGTATACAGCCAGGACTGCCCAACTAGCCGGAGGCTATTATAAAGGGCCTCACAACAACATAAACAATTCGGAAGGTTTAACGTAACTTATGTCAATACGCCATTTACGTCCATATTTCTGCAGTCATGGGTTATGGAATAGACTAGTATTATCGTATTGAATGCTTTGTCAATGTTGCCATGCATTGTGCCCTGTACAACTGTTCATTAAAATTTGAAGGTAGAGTGCATGGATAAAAAGCGGCCTCTAGCAATTCAATGAAGAACTGCATCATCACGATTGGATAAGCTCCCCATTACTGCAATGTTTTTTTCACCGATAAACCGGGCGGTGGAGAGCTAATGCCCCGAAGAGACCCTACCAAATCCACGATAGATGATGTTTTTCCAACCAATATCAGTTCATTAAAGTGTTTAAATCTAACATCAGAAAGGTTATATATCCGAGAATTACATCTTGTATTGTTAACACTAGCGTGTGGCCATTTTCAGAAAGAAAACACGTTTCTACTTCTGACCATAATGGTTTGAATCACAGACAGTACATCTATTATTTGTTACTATTCCTTGTTTATAAAGACTGACCCTTGTTTGATATATATTGTGTAAAATTTTCCATTGTAATGACCGTAATTTCGGCTCTTAAGTGATTCGAAACGGCGCTAGGCTTCCCATATGGATTTCCACGGATTAACTTGGAAATCATATTGTGGAAGACGTTTCTCCCAAAAGCTTTGAAAAATAGGTGTTTTTATTTTGTAATATCAATGTTTGAAAGAAACTATTATTTTTAACTTTCACAAGTAGCTTTTCCAAGTAGCTTGATTTGATGTTCTCCATCAAAATCAAATGCTACTTTCCATTTAGTAGGAATATCGTTCACAAGAGCATTATACTGAAATATTAAATTCGGGTGATTTCCCTACAATATACTTAACATCATCTAAAGATATAACATTACCACAGTGCACAGTAAACCAGTCAGAATTGCCCTGATGAAGATGACAGACGGTCATCGAAACGTCTGCTCGTGAAAAATAAATGGTTGTGACCAAAGAACTTTGCTATTCATTCGTTTACAAACCTGATGAAATTATTTACGGATAAGATTACCATAACAATCGATTACATGTTTAACATACATCTGGACATGCTAGCCGGGTTACGAATTTTGGCTGCTAGGTAGCTCTTGGGCTAGGGAAGATGTGACTTAGTTTGGGCCCCCATGCAGCCTGCTCTGAAAGTGCAGGCGCATTTGATAAGAATTTTAAAGGTGTATAACTCAAGAACCGGTTGACGGATTATCGTGATTTTTGGTATACAGGCAGCTTTTGTGACGCTTGACATACTGGCAATCAAATGTCAGTTATGCAAATCTGGATATATTTTGCATAATTTATAAGAACTTCTATAAATCTGCTACCTTCCATGATAGGACTATTCAAACTTGTGACATATGTAAATGTGAATGAAAGGAATATCGCCAGACGGCAGATATTGGTTATGGAAATAAATACCTCATTTGCATAATAAACGGGAAAAAGAAATAATTCCATACTGATAATTGCCAGGAATTTCATACTTGAGGCATTTGGAAGTTAGCTAAAGGAGGACATTACTAAAAAAAAAATATTCAAATCAGGAGCTCATTTGCATAGTTTATGAGGATATTCTAGGATAGCCATGCCATGAGATGTAGTGAGTCCGGCAGTTGTACTCCTTTGGAAAGGTGAACCTGAATAAGAGACAGTTATCAATTATTGTTATATTTGGTAGACATGTTAGAGTATATGACTAGCAATTGGGCTTTGAACTCTGGCTGAATGGGACTATAATGCACCACAATGTGTTTCATACAAATGTGGAATTTCGGCGACTATTTGTGTGATTTGCGTATAATATGATTTAATCCTAATTATAACAATTAACAAAGACATGCTACAGCTAGCGTCACTTACATTCGAATTCTTCTATAACTTACACCTCCTTATTCCTCGCATTTCTGTGCCTATCTTAGTCAAAAATCTAAAACAAATGAGACCCTCTGTCTCTAAGATCTTAATATCAAAATTACTAAAAATATTCGCTGTAGCTGACGAAAAAAAACCCTCACCAATGTATAAGAAACAGATCATCCAATACTTTTGTGCAGTTCTTTATTAAACTGACAGGAGGCCGCTTTTGATCCATGCGATTTACCTTTGCAACTTATAAGCCGTACCCTGCCCTGTAACTTCTTAGCCTGGTATCAATAGTTGTCTTTTCTATTTTTAGCTATATCAAGTAATTTGTAACCGATTTTGTAATGCCGTAATTTTAACATAAAAGTGCAATAATTTAGTGCAATACTTGATGCTTATGCTTAAGTTATGTACATGTTATATATATTCTACTTGTGTATCTCATTGTAAAAGCTGCCCAATTCAGCCTGCGGGCTGCAATTAGCAACTTATATGTATGCTGTATGCATGTTTCTTTTCGAAGTAAACCAGTCTATATATGACGTTTCTACGTGGCACTACACTAATAGCTCTCCGCCGTCGGCTTCACGGTGCACATTCAAGTTCTTGTCAGCAGAAAAAAAACAGTAATAGAAGCAGCGTATCCAATATGCTGGTGTAGTACTTTGTAGAACTGTTAGAGAGCAGATTTTGTTTATGAACATTGATATGCAAATCATTTTCCATTATCTACATATTTATTATTTTATTTATATTTTACAGTTTATATGTACTAATTGGTATGTTGTATGTACTCTTCAATTTGTATCCGCATCAGAATGTTGTGTATTACGTGGGTTTTCTTAACGTACGGTGCACACCCCAATTCTTCGTAGAGGCGAAAAATTACTGCAGTAATAGGCTGGGAGCAGCTTAGTCAATCGTGCGGGTGC